CAAAATCATTTTTTAAAAAAGAAATACTGAAAGTTTCAAAGAGATCTTCGCACTAGAAGTATTCTAAAATGTGAAGAATACGACCTTGGGGGTACAAAATGACCCCAGGGCGCACGGATAGGGTTAAGCTCACTCTTTGTTATGAACTGTTTTAAAACTTATTAAAATTTTTAATGGAAATACAACAAGAAAGCACTTAGGTCGCGAGATGGCGGAGTCCAAATTCTACCTATTATGACGTACACAGGTCTATTTATAGAGCACCTCTTCAGCGTCCGCAGGTAGGTCGCGAGCTGGGAGCCATCTTGTTTCACAGATTTGTACTTCTAGACCTACTTAGACCGCGCACTCTCGTGGCCGCTTTAATCAAGCGTCGGTGGGTGGTTGGCGAGTGCTCTGGTGTGGTTTTCTTTTCTTTCCTATCAAACATCTATCGTCCTTATCTCCCCTCCTTCTTTTTTATGTTTGTTACTCTCTTGTAACTTTTAACACCTCTAATCTTCTGGCGCTCATATGACCTTATGCAGTTGAGAGCGCCGTAAAACATCTACTAAGAACTAAACTGTTATTAGAAATGGAGATACAACAAGAAAAAACTGAGGTTGCGAGATGGTGGAGTCCAAATTCTACCTATTATGACGTACACAGATCTATTTATAGAGCACCTCTTCAGCGTCTGCAGATAGATCGCGAGCTGGGAGCCATCTTGTTCCATAGATATGTACTTCTAGACCTACCTAGACCGCGCACATTGTCATGGCCGTCTCTCTTTGTTCTCCGTAAAAAATATTGCTGCAAAGTGTGCGTGCTATGAGCAGCGCCTTTATGCCCAACTAGCTGGGCCCCCTTTCCATGAAAGGAATGATCGGGCCTTAAATATCAACTGAAAGTCATTAGCCTACTATATTTACACTCTACTGGAATGGAGCAATAAATCCTGAGAGTAAGGTGACACGGCATGTGTTTCCAAGTTGCCAAATAATATAAAAGATGTATAGATTGATTCTCTCTTCCGCTTTCGTGGTTGTGCACTCCAGAGTTTCAAAGGTTCGCAAAAAGCGCGCACGGCTAGTGAACGGAAACCTCACTTGTTTACAATGGCATCTTAGAAGACGGACTTTCCTAAGATTAGATCTAAACGAAGCTAATGAAAAACTGAAAATTTCACTACAGTGACTTTAGGCTCCTCAATAAAACTGTGCACCCT